ACGACGAGCTGATCCCTTTCCAGGACGAAGGGGGCGAGGAGCAGGAGCCGAGCAGCGACAGCGTCTCGGCGCAGCGGGACCTGGACGAGGTCAAGTCGTCTCTGGTCAACGAGTCGGAGAACCAGAGCAGCAGCTCGGACTCGGAGGTAAGGAGGCTCCGCAGCCGACCCCGAGGACCCCGGCTCGGCGCCCGCTCACCCGCCCTCGCCTTTGTGTCTCCTCTGCAGGCGGAGAGGCGCCCGCAGCCTGCTCGGGACGCCTTCCAGAAGCCGCGGGACTATTTCGCCGAAGGTACGTGCCGGCCGGGACAGCCTCCGTTCCCGGTTCCCCGAGGCCGTGCCCCAGCTCTTTGCCCCTCTCGCCGGCAGCCGTCCTGGGGCGCGCGTGGGGGGCGCTCGGGTCCTGGGGCCCCTCCGGGGACCCCTGCAGCGGCGCTGTCGCGGGGCCCGGGTCTCACCCCCGCTTTGGTCTTGCCTGCAGTGAGAAGGCCCCAGGACGGCGCGTTCTTTAAGGGCCCTCCGTACCCAGGGTACCCCTTTCTGATGATCCCGGACCTGAGCAGCCCTTACCTCCCCAACGGACCCCTGTCTCCCGGAGGAGCGCGCACGGTGAGCGCCTGTCGGACCGCGCCGGGGCGGGTGGGAGGCCGGGCCGGCGTGTTGTGCCCCCGGGCTCGGTGACGGGGTGGGGGATGGGGCCGTCCCGGGAGGATCCCCGGCAGAACTTGTTTTCAGAGTTGCACGACTCTGTGGCGGCCAAATGTTAGGCTGCGCTGGCCAGTGCCTGGGTGAAAGTAACGTTCCTTTAAATTCTCCCCTTTTGCTGGGGAGAGGCTTTTAGGTCCACGTCTGGAGTCTCCCTTGGCTTCCAAAATTCTTTGCTCGCGCTACAGGAAAACTTGGATTTGTGCCGGCTTTGAGGGGCAGGGAGGGGTCTTGCTTTTCTTCCTGGAAGTGGGTCAACTTTCCCTGGCATTTGGGCAATGGGCCGGGAAATCCGTATTAACGGCGTTGCCCCCCGACCTTGGTTTCACTGGGCTGTTACCTCCCAACCTCGGTTTCAGTTCCCAAGAAACCCAGTATTCGTGGCGGGTTATCACACACCCCTCTTCCCACCGTCGGCCCTCGCGCAGGGGCCTCAACTTTTCTGTGGAGCTCGGGATTTAAAACTTGCCGAGATGATTTCAGGGCAACCCGCGGCATTCTTCAAGTTGAGAAACTTGGCTTTTTTCCCCTTTGTTGCCTACTTTTCTCATTTAAAGCGAGCGCTGAGACACTTAAAACCTGTTAATGGGCGCGCATTGTGTGCTGCGCGCTGGCATTTAGAGCCGTGATTAAGCAAATTGACGGGGCCCCAGACAACGTGCAAATGAAGGCGGATTCCATCTTCCCCTCCCTGGCTCTGAACTCCTGCCCCCCGCATGGCAAGGGGCGCAGCCCGCGGCTGGCTAGGCTTTTGTATCCCCCGAGCCGCCACCCGACCTCAGGGCCCCCTGCCCATATGCTAGGTCCGATGGCAGATCTTGGGCGAGCGCCTGTCTACTACGTGCCAGGCTCTAGCGTGCTGCCCCTTGGGCGCCGCGCGCACGGTAGTGGTTCTTTTTGCTTCCCGCTCAGCCTCCCAGTGCGGGTCAGTGCGTGCTTGATTCGGGGCGGGAAGTGTTGGCGCCTTAGGAACGGGGTCCGACAAATGCACATCATGCTTAAGCTATCTTTAAATAGTGATCACAATTAAATGTCTTCCCTGAGAAACGCTCGGTGCTGAATGGATGATCCCCGCTGTCATGGTCCATGGAGAGCTGAGGCATCTGTTCAGTCGTTCAGTGGTGCGCTCTCTTGGCTAGTTGAGATGGAGTGGAGGTGGGGGCGCTCTGACCAATGGAAAGGGGAATGGGACCACACAGCCCTCACTGTTAAAGCTGGGAAGACCTATGGCTTTTGTTAGCCCTGCTTTGGAGCACCCCAGGAACTTCTGAATATAATAAGCTGGATGTGGGCCTCAGGCTGTTGCCTTTTTCTCATTCGTATTTCAAGAAAAAAGGTGCGAGTAAAAGTTGATCAATAAAAGCTGCAGCAACTTCGTTTAGGTTTTCACTGATTCCCTTACATGTCCACAGATGTAGCTCAGTTCTGAGAACTTTGGTAGGGTTCCTGTAACTTGTGTGAGAGCGTTATGCTACCGAAGTCTCATTTTCCCATTTCCCATTGGCTGTCTGGAAAGAGGGCAGGCATTAACATTGGTGAGTGAGCACTGATCCAGGGCCTGGTGCAGATAGTCACCAGACATGTTACAAAATGACCAATTATTTACCTCCAGTGGCCTATTCCTTCCAGCTAGCCATTTCTCATTAGGGCATTTGGGTTCTTCCTCTTTGGTGACTCTGACAACTGCCTGTCTTCATCCGCTGCCCCCCAGGGAAGAACTCCAGTGGGACAGCTTTCGTTCGTGTTAGTCCCCTCCTCTCTTCCTTCTACCACCTTCTACCACCCTTCCTTCTTTCTACCATCTTCCATGTTCTTTTGCTTAAAAACTTCGCAAGGTGGGTTCCTCCTGGTCCTGAGGATTCCTGTACTAAATGCAGCCCTGCGTGGGTTTCCCAGAGCCCTCCTTGGGGAAGCCGACCTTTCCCCTCTGCATGCCTCTGACTGCCTTTCGGTCCCTGCAGCTGTTCCCTGCCCTGGCCCATACCACAATCCCTGTTTCAAGCCTCTGAAGAACTTACCCTCTTTCTATTCACACTTTATAAGGGACTATGTCCTGGCCTGTTCTCATACCTGAATCTTGTCTCCCTGGTGAATTGCCCTTGCAGAAGTAAGTTCAATTCCCCCATTGTTTCTGTGCCCCTTAAGAGCCTGGCTGCTTACAAAGTTCATTGATATAGGAGTGACCTTTCCTGCAGTTCAGGCAGCTCAGCTGCTTTTTGGCCCTGTCCTTGGGCATCATGGGCTGTTAGGAAAGCAAGTGAGAAAACCCTAAAGTCATCATCTGGGCTATAGAGTTGAGGTGGTGCTTTCTTCTGGATGATTCTATTATGTAGTCGACGTGATTTTCACTTGAGGCAAACTATAGACTCTCTGTTGGTGTCCCAGCCTCGTAAAATGAATGTAGATAGATATGGGGCAGAGGGCTGGGGAAGGAGGTGGCCAAAATGGGGGAAGGGTGCCTCGAATATATAATCTGGTCTTTCTTTTGGCATCCTAGGTCTGTTTTTATGTTATTTCTAAATTTCACAGCCTTAGGCTTTGCTGCTCTAAGGCCTATAAGTGGTATAAAATTGGGTGAGCTCAGTTCTCTGTTGCTCTACCACTTTCTGGAAATACCAAGCCAGAAGCAAAAGTGCTGATTGGCTGGAGTGTTTTCAGGGTGTTAATTGACCCTGGGAATAACAAGCAGCAGGGCTGCAACACCCTC